TTGCACATTTAGCTGTAAGTTGTTGCAATACTGAAAGCTTTCTTCTTAAAATAAAACAAAGTTAAATTCCTCTTATATAAATAAAATACCCAGTCCCACTCTTACACGTTTGAATGCTTTTGAGGATGCAAATCTTACACATTTCAGTTGAATTTTAATTCTTGTAAAAGTTTTCAAAAGAAGTAGTTGAGTGAACGAAAATACCGAAAGTGGGCTCTTTTTCAAAAGTAGTCTATTTCTATTGGAATGTTAGAGATATGTATTCCTAATGGAAAGAAAGCCAGTGTGTGTAAATTTCACACACTGGCAAACCCTGTTTCCTACTCCATAGTTTTTTTTTCTGTTGGTGCAATTCAGTATTTAATCTATTTGGCACAAAGGCTGTTAACAGTGTTTGCTTTGTAAAGCTATGTGTGGTGGACCTCTATTACTAGATTACAGTGAGTGTAATTTAAAATTTGATAAATTGTTGCATTAAAAAAAAAGCAAGATCCAAAATCCATTCTGTGGATAATACCTTTATTGGGCAACCCAAAAGGGACAAAAGCCATGTAGCAAAAAGTTTTACGGCTTTCTTCATTAAGCAGAGATAGTAAAATAAATGAATGGTGTCTTGATCCTAAAAGCAGTTACATTCTGCTTTGAATGTAATAGGAAATGTGTTTAGATGAAAAGCAACCAACCACCCTCCCTCCTATCATCCTAAGCCGAGTGAGAAGAAAGGTGAAAAGACAGAATTTAAAACATTGCAACCCTTGATGCTATTTGACAAATACATTAAATGTTCTAGTCTAGTTACATCCAAATTTTAGGCTTAGAAATGTGAAAGAGCCATTGTTTGTGTATGTATAATGCCAACCCGGGAAGGTATAGTGGTTTGAGTACTGGATTATGATTCTGGAGACCAGTGTTTCAATAATAATATCAACAACAACGAAACAACAACTACTACAACTTTATTGTTGTATCCCACCACTATCTCATCGCAGGGACTCGGGACAGTTTACACGTGGCACAAAGTGCCAAAAACCATAAAATAAAATGTAAATAATTTAAAAAGACAATTGAATAAAACATACTGAGATATAAAATAACAACTAACACTCAATTAAAAACAGCACTCATAAACCAATGGTGGTAAGCTACTATAAACCTGCCATGGCCAGGCAGTAAACAGTTGTACTGGGAATGGGATGTGCAAAGCTGTAGCTATGGGAAGAGGGCATGGTATAAAGTGCAAGGCTGCATAACAATTGCGTAGATAACTAGAGACTAGGTGTTCTCAAAAGCTTTCTTGAACAGCCAGGTCTTCAGGTCCCTATGGAAGGAGGTCAATGTGGGGACTTACTTAATCTCCCAGAGGAGGGTGTTCCAGAGCCAAGGGGCCACCATCAAGAAGGTCCTCTCCCTTGTTCCCACCAACCGTGCTTGTGGCAGGATCATGAGGAGGGCCTTCCCGGCAGATCTTAGAGCCCACGCCAGTTCATAGGGGGGATTGTAGTCATGAAGTTAGGCAGAACCCAAACCATTTAGGGCTTTATAGGTAATAGCCTGCACTTTGAATTGGTACCAGAAACTTATGGGAATCCCCACTTGGCCATGAAAGCACATAGGGCAACCTTGGGCAAGACACAATCTCTTTGCCCTCCTGAAGATATTTAGTCTAGAAAGCCCTGTGATAGGTTTGCATGAGAGTTGCCATAAGTTGGAAATGACTTGAGAGCACACAACAACAAAGACAACAACAACAGCAGCAGCAACAAACAACAACTGCTAAATTTTGAAACTTACGAAGCTGTTTTTTCAATCAGTCAGTGAGTGCTAGTTTACTATCTTGCTATCTGTTCTATCAAAGGGGAGATATTTGCAAATCCCTGTTCTTTCAGGAATAGTCGAAATGGTGGACCATGTTCTGCAATATTGCCTGTATTATAGGGATATCCATTCTCAGCTAATGCCCCAAATTATGACGATTTTGTCAGGCAGACATGAATATTTTTTCATCTCACTTCTTTCAAATTCTGTTCTGTAGGTTACTGGGTTTTATAACTTAGTATTTTCTACCAGAAGTAAACTAAACAAATACCTATAAGGGTCTTTCTCTACTCCTCGGCTCCATTGAACAACTTTAGTCATGATTTGATACTGGCTGTTGTACATCTTCCAGTCTATATCAGGGGGTAATTTTTGTAGTTGTGAACCGTCTTTTCTTTTTTCTCTGTTTTTCTATTGCCTTGTAACCATTTGGCTTGCGTCTGATCGTAATAACACAATTTGGTCTCTCATTCACTCAGTCCTGTTATTGCTACATTTAGTTCTGACAGATCAAGGTTTGGATGGATTTCATCCCTTTATGATTTCTGATTAGAATTAAATTTGGGCTTTTTTTTACCAGCAAAGCAGGATATCTCCCACTGAGTTCCAGTTGTTTCCATTTCTAAGTCTGTTTTCTGGTTTTTTTTTCTTCAATTGTTGTGAGATACCAATATTTCTATCTCCCCCGTGACTGTATGTATGTTGTGAAGAATCATCTTCCACATTGAAACCAAGATTGGTTAGCTCCACTGTCTGTGTCTTCTGCTAAAACGGAGACACAACAGCAAGGAATGGTCTTCTTTCATCTTTGCTTCTCTCTTATGCCATTCCTGTTTTTCACAGCAGATTATACATTTTCTTCAGTGCTCGCTGCCTCTTTAGGGACCCATTCCTTGTAGTTGGAGAATTCTGGTGGTATTTCCAGACCAGGGAAAATGGTCATGCCAGGGGTCTGGTTGACACATGTATGCTCATTAATTATTTTATTTATTTGAAGAATGTATATACTGCCATATTGCATTTGGGGCCTCAGGGAGCTGAGACTTGCATGTATATGTGAAATAAAAGCAATCACTCTTAATTATAGCAATCATTTCGAAGCATTAGTCCAGTGAGAAAGAGGATTGCATTTGTTTGTAGCACATATTGTTGTATTTGGTTTGGATTGCAAAAAACTTCCTCCTTCCAAGGAGGCAAACTTGGGAGTGAAACCATTTTAATTTCAAGTGAAGATGGTGAGTTATCTGAAATGAAAGATTTAGAGCAGGTATGTAATGGAGGCAATACCAATCTTTCTTACTGTGGATGTCATTATTTGCTATTTTTTTTCTTGAAGGAAGCAATGAGCAATTTTTGCCTTTTTCTTCCTGGCGCTATGAACTATTTGCAGTTCAGGAATTGTTCTGCACAAAATTCACACATGATGTCTTTGAGCAGAAAGCACAATTCTGTTTTCTGTCCAGAAAATAATTTAACTGGACCCATGCTGTCTTGGATCTCATGTGAGGAGAAAAGTGGGGATATAAATTAAATAAATAAATGGAGACTGATTCTGTACAAAATGTGCACATTTTTTACATTGTAAAGGCATTTTCTGTGCAGATATTTCAGCTTATGCATTTAAAGAATTTTGAGGAAGCAATAAAGATGTCTGTTTTTTTTTTAAGGTGATAATCACTCATATGACTAACTTAGAAGCTAAGCAAACATGGGGAATAGTTTTTAGCCAAACTCGGACCATGTTTGGGGTTTCAATTGGGCTGGTTATTACAGTGAATTGGTTTGGGGAAAGGGCCACTTTTTATTTGTACTGTAATTGAAATTTATAAAATTATGACTTTTGCCAAGCAGGGATGGAAAGAAATTTCTTTGTGTTCAGAATTCTTGATTTAGGTATTCATATTTTGAGACTATTGCAAGAAAAAGGGCAATGTTTTCCTAAAATCCATATACTTTTGTTCCAAATCCATAATTTGTGAGGCCTGTGGTACATTTTGAAGAAAAGCCATAGGGACAACATGTGTGCACATCTTTAAATCTGGAACAATTAAAAGTGCATGCAATTGAAGCATATACATCAACATGCTTTTGGTACCTATACTCAATTTTATAGATGGCATTAAATTGTTGCTAACACTGTGAACCGCCCTGAGTCCCCTTTGGGGTTGAAAAGGGCAGTATATAAATACTGCAAATAAATAATAATAAATAAATATAAGGGTGGGGATTATGCAGCTTTCCAAATGTTGTTAGATAGCAATTCCTATCAGCCATAGCTAGCTAATGGGAGGTGCAGGCAGTGACATCTGAGGGACCACATGACTCCTATCCCTGCTTTAATGAATAGGAGAAAACATACACATTAAAATATATTAAAAAGTAAAATATTTCTTAAAATGCTTGAATTTCCTTACAAGAAAATGGAGCAAGGTCTTGTAGCTTGATACAGTGTGAACCAAGGATAGGATGAGAATACAGGTGTGACTGAGTAGAATGGAACAAAATCTGAGAAATGTTTATGTCTCTTGTGTAGCAAGCGAACAGAGAACAGCAATTCCAAGTCTTGTAACACAAGAGCTCTGAGTCAGCCAGTGTAAATTTATGTGCATTAGATTCAGGAAAAACAAAGAGAAAGATCTGCTTCATAGAACACATAATTAAGCTGTGTGAGATTTATGTCTATGTCATAAGGTTATGGCCATTGGTTTTGATGGTTTAAACAGGTATTAGGAAAACTACCATGATGTCCCTCAGTAGCCATGATGAACATGTAGAACTTCCTAGTTCAAAAGTGTAATGCCAATAGGTAGGAATTTGGTGATGTACAGAGTCAAGTGTTGTCTTTATTTTAAGAGCTTCTTGGGTATCTTAGGTTAGCCACTATGGGAAGAAGCTAGATTGATTTAATGATTGGTCAGTATCTGCATGACCCATTTCATGTCTTCTAAATTTTGGACACAAATTTTGGACACTTACTTTTTTTAACTTTGAGATAACTCTCCCACCTCCTGCTTGATGGGAGTTGCAGTGCCTCACTGGAGAAAGCTTATCTGAGGAAATATCTTCAAAGAAATGAGAAAGCTTGGTGCCACTACCAAAATTCTTCTTGCAGGTGGAGGAACATCCTGTCTGTGCATCCCTAGAGTGGGACTCAACTTCTCTTTCCACCACTTTTCTCATTCCAGGTATACAAATGCTCTCTGTCCAGCCAGACACCAAACCGAAAGGTTGTGCTGGCTGCAACCGCAAGATCAAAGACCGGTACCTCCTAAAAGCCCTGGACAAATACTGGCATGAAGACTGCCTGAAGTGCGCCTGCTGCGACTGCCGCTTGGGGGAGGTCGGCTCCACCTTGTACACCAAAGCCAACCTTATCCTGTGTCGCAGAGACTACTTGAGGTAGGATTTTGCTTCCCCCTCCCCTGCACGTATGGTATATGCACACCCCACACTTCATGTTCCATTTCTTCCCTCTCATAGAGAGTGGTGTAATCCAAACAAAACAAGCCACATAGGATGGTATCTACAGATCCTTTGCCACATAGAAATAGATAGTGTCTGGAGTAGGAAAATGGTACACAACGAATAAACCAGATCATCCCTCACATCTCTTCAATGAAATTTGGGACAGGTTTTCTTTATAAGCTTAGTCTTATTCTTTTAGGTCTACTGTGTTCTGGCTCTGTTTAAAACTAAGGTGGCTTGACATGTCTTTCCTCAGTCTGCTAAACAAGTGGTTTATCACCTAGTGAAGCTGGCTGTGAACTCTCCTGATTCACACCAAACAGGGGTGGGAGATTTTTTTTCCTAGATGGAATAATCTGACATATAGATAAGTGAGAAGACAAAGTTTTAAATCTTTATACTAGCCTGTCTTAGAGATGTACTGAGATAATACAGCCAAGCTTGAAGTGAAACCCCTCATTTGAACTAAAGTACCTGTTTTAAAATAATTAGAGTTTAGTTTTCAGAAGGCTCAACTTCTTAAATATAGTTTGGAGCTTTGAATAAAGTGGAGTCTCTTTCCCTTTATCCCTCAACCTCAGGTGTTCCAGTATAGATAAAAGAGAAGAGTTGCAGAGCTTGAAAAGATTTTTTTTTTACTACAACTCTCAGAATTCTGGAGAAATCTGGGATTTATACTCCAAAACATGGGGACACTATGGAGACTATATTTCTTGAGAATTCATACCAGGATCAAAATCAATGATAAAATATATGTCAATGATAACAGGATCAAAATAGATACTCCATATTCTTGTCCCTGCTTTACTCTTCCTTCCATAACAATAATTCTAACTGGTTCAGAGAGCTGTATTTTATGGTAGATAGAGTTGCCATCGGCCTGTAGAGTTCAGTTCCTAGTAATTCCAACAGAATTTCAATTGGATCTACTCAGTGTAGTGTCCGTGCACTACAACGCAATGCAGCAATGAAATCAATGCCTTGCTCAGGCTGTGTTGCATGTTGTTGTTCATTCGTTCAGTTGTCTCCGACTCTTCGTGACCTCATAGACCAGCTCACGCCAGAGCTCCCTGTCGGCCGTCACCATCCCCAGCTCCTTCAAGGTCAGTCCAGTCACTTCAAGGATGCCATCCATCCATCTTGCCCTTGGTCGGCCCCTCTTCCTTTTGCCTTCCACTTTCCCCAGCATAATTGTCTTCTCTAGGCTTTGCTGTCTCCTCATGATGTGACCAAAGTACTTCAACTTTGTCTCTAGTATCCTTCCCTCCAATGAGCAGTCAGGCTTTATTTCCTGGAGGATGGACTGGTTGGATCTTCTCGCAGTCCAAGGCACTCTCAGAACTTTCCTCCAACACCACAGTTCAAAAGCATCGATCTTCCTTCGCTCAGCCTTCCCTAAGGTCCAGCTCTCACATCCGTAGGTTACTACAGGGAATACCATGGCTTTGACTAGGCGGATCTTTGTTGCCAGTCTGATGTCTCTACTCTTTATTATTTTATCGAGACTGGACATTGCTCTCCTCCCAAGAAGTAAGCGTCTTCTGATTTCCTGGCCACAGTCTGCATCTGCAGTAATCTTTGCACCTAGAAATACAAAGTCTGTCACTGCCTCCACGTTTTCTCCCTCTATTTCCCAGTTGTCAATCATTCTTGTTGCCATAATCTTGGTTTTTTTGATGTTTAACTGAAACCCAGCTTTTGCTCTTTCTTCTTTCACCTTGATTAGAAGGCTCCTCAGGTCCTCCTCGCTTTCGGCCATCAAAGTGGTGTCATCTGCATATCTAAGGTTGTTAATGTTTCTTCCAGCAATTTTTACCCAGCCTTGCATTCATCAAGCCCCGTACATCGCATGATGTGTTCTGCGTACAAGTTGAATAGGTTGGGTGAGAGTATGCAGCCTTGCCATATGCCTTTCCCAATCTTGAACCAGTCTGTTGTTCCGTGGTCAGTTCTTACTGTTGCTGCTTGGTCCTTGTACAGATTCCTCAGGAGAAAGACAAGGTGGCTTGGTATGCCCATCCTGCCAAGAACTTGCCACAATTTATTATGATCCACACAGTCAAAGGCTTTAGAATAGTTAATGAAGCAGAAACAGATGTTTTTCTGAAACTCCCTGCCTTGTGTTGCATAGGAGTGAGATTATAATGTTTTTCTGCACAGCTGCCATGTGACATCATGAAACAATAAATAAGTTGTGTCCATTGGGTTCTGTTGGCTCTTCCTCAGACTTCTTTAATTTCCCATTCCATATTGGGAAATAAAGTTTGTCCTTTTAATAGTAGAAACCCAGTGTGGTATAAGTGTTAATGGGCTGAACTTCACTTTAGGGCATAATACCAACACCCAGTGAGCTATAAGACTCTCTGGGTACACCTAAGTCAGCCTTACTCTTTCTCTCATTCTCAGTTTAACCTACCTCCCAACCTTGTGAAGATGAAAAAGAAACAAGGCCATGTAAGCCAGTTTGAGCTCCTGAGAAGAAAGGTTGGTTAAAAAATGTAACCAACTAATGTCCAACCATCTTCACTCTCATTATCCGAGCCAATTTGTCTTCCACCCTCCAGAAAACTCCAGAAAAAGTTTGACTAGCAGCCAACCTGTTTTGATACATGGCCTCCCATTCTAGGTTGAGTCTTCCACTTTTCCTGATCTTGCTAGAGATTTTCAGTCTGATCTCTTGCTTATCCTTAAATGTGCTATTTATGTTAAACTTCAAGTTGATGCACTTAATGTAATTGCAGACAGTCATTTGCCTCATTGCATCTGTATGTACTTAGCTATGCAGTGAACCTGTAAAAGGAAATCTCAATTTTTATGCTAATTCCAGAGGTAGTTAAATGTGCTCCCTTTTGTAGGCAAATAAGCTTTCCCATTTAGCCACTGACTTGATAGGAATATGAAGAATGAATTGCAAATACTAATAATTAGAGAGTCAATGTGGTTGAGAATTGGACCAGGACTCAGGAAATTAGGATTCAAATCCTCATTTGGCCAAGAAAACTTATTTGGGGACCAGTCACACTCTCAGCCTCAGAGGAGATCTTTCCAAGAAAGCCCTGCGATGTGTTCACTTACAAAGTACCCAGAACTCAGAAAAAACTTGAAGATACATGACACCCAACACAATAAAATTAGAGTTAGGTTGTATCTTCAAGCTCTTCTTATTGGGCTTGATAAGGGCCCATTTTCTTATTTAAAGCATCTTGGAAAACTGTGCTTCCAATAAGGGAATACCTTACAACACACGTGTCAGATGCAAGACCCATGGGCCGAATCCGGTACATCACATCATTTTATGTGGCCCGCAAGGCTTTCAATGCTGGGGCAACATAGTTACATTTATACAGTCTTGCAATTTTAAGTGGTTCTTTGAAGGCAACCATAAAGCTGCTGTGGCCCTTGATGAAATGAGTTTGACACCCCTACCTTACAAGATATATTTCATTTTCATATCATTTCATTTACCTTACAAGATTTTATATCATCTAATGACACAGGAGCCCCCGGTGGCACAGTGGGTTAAACCCTTGTGCCGGCAGGATTGAAGACCAACTGGTCACAGGTTCAAATCCGGGGAGAGCGTGGATGAGCTCCCTCTATCAGCTCCAGCTCCTCATGTGGGGACATAAGAGAAACCTCCCACAAGGATGGTAAAACATCAAAATATCCAGGCATCCCCTGGGCAAAGTCCTTACAGATGATCAATTCTCTCACACCAGAAGCGACTTGCAGTTTCTCAGGTCACTCCTGACATAAAAAAAAATCTAATGACAATTACATGTTTCTTCCTTGGCAAAATTAACAGTCTGGTTGTGATCACTATCAGTTACCTTCCACAAAGGTACAACTAGACCTGATTCTTTGTTCTAACTTTTAAATGAATGTTCCTCAGAATTACAGGTTTTGGATGTACTCATTCACTAGGCTGGGACACTTTTGGTGGGGAAGGGATTCCCTTATTATGTCCATGGGAAGTGGTTATCTGATGGACCATATTGTCCCATAACAAACTATTCATGTTGTGCAATCCTCTGGGAAAACTTTTCTGTTTGTCCCACTACCCAAAAGATACATCTGGTGAGAACACAGGAGAAGGCGTTTTCTGTGGCTTCCCTCAGAATCTGACATTATCTTTTCTTTCTTTCCACATCCAAATGAAGACCTTTTTATTTCAGCAGGCCTTTGAGAATTTACTTTTTATGCAAACCAGGCTATGTATAACATGTTGGATTTTTATTTGATTAGTTTGAATTCTTCCTGCTTTAAGTTCCAATTTTAATTTACTTCAATTTTTTAACATTGATGTGCTGCGAATTTTAATGATGTTTATTAACATTGACATTAACAGTTCCATAACAAAAAGGTAAAAGAATTCATTAGCACCTTCAGAAAGAAACTGATTAAATTTATTCATTCATTTGTTAAATCCTTCTAAAGAATCAGTTGAAGATGCTAAAAGTGACCCGAGTGTCCCTCAAATTATCTCAAAATTGCTTCTCCAATTACTTCAAGAACAGTAACATACTAAAATAATAAGCAACATTAATTGCTATTCAGAAATAACACTGTTGACATTTAACCTGTGGCAGCTAATAGTTTTCTTTTAAGAGCATGATGAAATCACTTTGGGTTTTACTCTGAACTTTGAAGGAGTTATCCAAGGTGCATATATCCAACTCCAAAATAGATTCAGAATCCTAGATAATTCATTTGAAGTCTAGATTAAAACCATCTCCAATGATATGAAAGCCACCAATGCATTTTAACAACTAAAATAACTCATTTCAAAACATTGCTGGAAAAATGAGTTTGGGGTAATGAACTGATTTTAATGGAATTATTTCTATTACCTGGGAAGGAAATAAATAGGGTGAATTTGATATATATATATATATATATATATATATATATATATATAGTGATGAGTTCTTTTA